AATTAATAGAATAATATTATATTGGTTTATCAATTCATTAATTATTCGTACGTAGTAATGTATAAGATTGATCATCAATTATAATATAGTTTATGCGTGTGTATGAAATTACTCATATACTAAAATATAATTTAAAAAATTCATTTACATACATGCTATTATAATCTATTAAAAGTAATTACCTAGTTAATATAATTTTTTAAAAGATTATGCTTATAGTTTTTAATTATTTATAATAATTATAGTTAAATAAAATAAATATTTATAGCTAATAAGATTTTTTATAGCTTATAATATTTAAAAACCAAAATAGAAAAAAAAATTTATTTAATTTTTTTTAGAAATAGCGACCAACGTTAGTGGCTATTTTGGTCAAACAGTCAAAAAATAGCGACCAACGTCGGTCGCTAATTATCCAAAAATTAAAATTTGCGACCAAAGTTGGTCGCTAATTTTAAATAAGATTTATTTATATTTTATATAATATTTAAAATAATAATATAATATTAAAATTTTAGAAGTGGGTCCTAAATTAGCGACCAAAGTTGGTTTCTATCTGCTTTCCCTTTCGTAAGCGACCAACTTTGGTCGCTAATTTTGAATTATATTTATTTATATTTTATAATTTTTTAAAATAATAATATAATTATTAAAATTTTATAACTGGGTCCCAGATTAGCAACCAAAGTTGGTCTCTATCTGCTTCCCCTTTCGTAAGCGACCAACTTTGGTCACTAATTTTAAATTATATTTATTTATATTTTATAATTTCTTTAAATAATAATATAATTATTAAAATTTTATAACTGGGTCCTATTCAATATTTCTTTGATCAAGCAAGTCTGACCAGTACGGTCAACATTTTGACCACATTATCGACCAAAAAGCGACCAAAGTTAGTCGCTAATTTCAATATTTCTTTTACCAAGCAAGTCTGACCAGTCCGGTCAACATTTTGACCACATTATCGACCAAAAAGCGACCAACGTTGGTCGCTAATGTATTTAGAATAATTATTTAATAATCTTCTCCAATTTAGTGACCAACTTTGGTCGCTTTTTTTGACAGACCAATTTTGGTCGCAAATTTTTGGTCGTTTTTTTTCGGATTTCTAGTAGTGACTGAAAACAATGCACATTTAATATTCCGAAGGATTTGAGCAATAATAGAGGAACATCAAGCAATAAATAGCAATAAATGATATTTATATAGATAAGGAGAATGATTCACCCAATATTGAATGAGATGGATGAATCTCTTTTCTGACAGTGATGAATGACAAACAAATCCTATAATATTGGAACTATTCTCGGATCTGATGGAAAAGTATAAAATAATAGAAGATGGAATCTTATTAAAAAGGTAGAGTTTGTATCTTTGCTAGAGAGAGAGTCTTCTTCTCAAAAAGTGTTCTTATCAAATGAATATTACATGACTTATCCCCTTATCTCTTTTTCTATTTATATGAGACATATCCCTAATCAACCCTAATAGTACAATTGCAGAGAATATTCAATGGAATATTCTCTTTAATATCTTATTGCAAAAACCAGCCATTAGTGCTCTATCCTTGATGCTCCCTCGACCATTGTCGACTGCCCGTCCATGAATCCCACTGTTTCCTAGTCGACCTCAACCACATCTTTTTCCTTAATACCACTTTATGCTCAATTCCCTTAAGGCAATTTTTAGCCTATATAGTTAATCCCTCCGCTTATGAAGGCCGACCTTGGACGACCTTGATGAGCGGACTCTGTTAGTTGTGGTTGAGAAGTTTAGGCAAACATGTCGAGTAGTAGCATTTCAGACGAGCAACATGCCCTTTCGTGAGCCGCAACCTAAGGTCATGTTGATTCAGAGTGACGTCATGACATCATGCATCATTATTACGCATCTTCCTAATGCCTTGCATCATTTTTCGTGCATCTACCATTTCGATAATGCGCTGGGTAGTGATGGTTTGTTTTCTCGATCCTGGTGCTTGAACTCTTATAAATAGGGATAAACAACTATTTACCTATGTTTTGCATTTTTAGCATCGAACCTCTGTGTCTTCTCCCTCATTCTTCATTTTAGAGTTCTTATCCTTACAGCTTCACTACTGTGTATATGCCTTCCTTGATTCCGGTAGTACCAACTGCTCATAACCCTTCTCTACTTGCAACATCCTCTTCGTTTGAGGAAAAAGGAAAAAAAGATGGTTAACGTATCTCCTAGTTCTGGTAGGGTATCTGACCCTGTTCCTTTAGTAGTACGTATGCCTCCCCATTATATTTTTAGTTTTAATGTTGTTTCGGGCGTTCCGAAAGTTCGAG